ATTTTTTTGTATTTTTAGTAGAGATGGGGTTTCACCATGTTGGCCAGGCTGGTCTTGAACTCCTGACCTCAGGTGATCCACCCGCCTCGGCCTCCCTAAGTGCTGGGATTACAGGTGTGAGCCACAGCACCTGGCCTCTCCCCACCCTCTCTTTATCAGTCGTTCCTTCTTCCCCCACCCCCTCCAGTTACTTGAAACAGTTCTCTTCATAGATGCTGTTCCACACTCTCCATGCAGAGGTCCCTTTATAGCCAGTGTAACGCTCTGGGTTCAGCAACAGGTCTACATACTGAGCAGCTGGAGATCTCTCATCTGAACAAGAAACAATTCATAAAAACCATCCATATTTCACCATTTATCTAAGAGTTAACAGTACAAAGCAAATCGGACTACTCAAAGGTAAGAGAAATGCCATGCTTTTCAAGTAATCTCCAACTTAAATGGTACAGTGGCTAGTACACTTGTGACTACTTGATGCAGGATTTGTAATAACTTGGACAAATTCCTTAAGAGAAGAAAAACAACTCTTGCATTTCCTTTGGATATGCAGTGCTCTCTTAAGCAATACAACATTCCCTTCACCTTATCAGAGGCATGAATCATTTCTTAAGTTTTAACCACCCAGGACTGAAAAGACCAAAGAGAATCATAACCTGCTTTAATATTTCATATGATTTATTCTCTAAGAGTATACCTACCTAACCACGCACTTGGAAACATTTTGTAACATATATTGTATTAAAAATAGAGATTTCCCTGCTACTCTCTGCTTGGAGTTATGAAGTAAATGGCTCCATAACGTTGTGACCCAAATCTGATTATTCATAAAGCTATACCATGCTCTAGTTTTTAAAAGTTATATATTACTGTTTTTACTGATGTTAACATACTGAAGTGCTTTTTTTGCTCTCAAACTAAAACGTAGTAGGCACAACTTTCACGAAGTTGTTGAAATATTTAAAACGAAATAACCATTTTCCATATTGAAACCCAAATGAGTATTTACCTGATCTCCACTATTTGGACTTTTTTTTTTTTTTTTTTGAGACGGAGTCTCACCCTGTCACCTAGGCTGGAGTGCAGTGGTGCAATCTCAGC